GAGATAATGCTATGTCCCGTCAATTGTCTCCTTCTAGCTGTCTCTTTGAAGTTATTTTCTTAATGTACCAAACTGACACGTTTTTTTTACTTCTTCAAGAAAATAGAGAAGAACAAGTTGGGTTTTACTACCATTACCATCGCTAGGAATTTTCGACCTTTCCACGGATTATAATTAGAGAACTTATGTGACGAAACTTAGATGATAAAACGACTTCGTCTTTCTTCGATTAGGGCTTCGAAATGAATGATTTGACGCCACTACACGCATCGCTGAGTCAAGACTCCAGTATCTATGACCAATTTCTGATGTTGATTTTGGAAAATGGAAAACAAGGAAGATCCGTTGAAGAAGAAGACGAATAGGTAGTGCTGTATCAGTGACGGTGAAGATAAAAGACCGAGCTTTGGGAAGGAGACCCAAGAGAGACATTGAAAACTAGTGGGCCATAAAATTCAATCAAGTGGGCCCAACATATAATTTACTCTGTAATTTTTAAAGTACTTAATACTAGTAGAGAAAGAATTAAGAGATAAATTGGTTTCTAGTGAAATAAATTCTTGTCCTCGAATTGTAGGAAATCGGAGTATTATTGTATGTGGGTCCTTTCCGACAATTTAGAAAGAAAACATAGGCTGCATGGCCTCAAATACAATCATGATGGATTGTACCAAACCGAATTAGACCTTTAATATCTTACACTACTCTCAAGTCAAGCTTCAATTTCCATAACTTGTCATCACGTACAAAAACCCATTCAACAGTTTACATCGTCGCTTGTAATGGAGCAAGACCACTCACTAGATCTCCATTTGATCTACAAGACGCAAAAACACCTAGGAACCGAATATACATTGTTATTACTGATTGATTTTACCATCAAGCAAAAGCTTATTCAAGTCACAGATTCAAAAACAATATAACAAGGCTCACTTAAGACAATATTTGATCCAGAGAGACTCAGAAACTCCGTCTCATCTTCTCCTTAAGTGAGACTTCCTTGTATGATTTGATTTTTCCAGCAGCTTGCCTTACAGGTCTTCCGACACATGTTTTTCCTACCTCCTCTGCTTCATCGCAACTTGGTTTCTTTTTTGATTCTCTTTTAAGCTCCGTTGAAACTGAAGATGATATCTGACTAGACTTCTCAATAATGTCAGTGTGCAAAGGAGGCTCTGAGGATTCTTTGATGGCTCTCTGAGAAATAACCTTTGTAGATTGTCTTCTTGAAGAGACTCTGTCAAGCAAATACCATTCAGGAAACGGTCTCAACTCTTTAGTTCTGGGGAATATAGGAAACTTATCTATCACTACCAAAACCTGCTTTTCCCGGTTTTCTCTTTCTTGTCATGTGGTTCTACTGCTTCGGGTTTAGACCCGATAGACTGATCACTCGCAGAGCATCTGAGATGGCATCCATAACAAAAACGAAAAAAGCGGAAGTGGCATAAGTATACTTGGTTTATGAATAAGTTATCAATAAAGAGGAGTGGAAAAAGAGAACATATGGTGCTTCTACAAACCCGGCATTTGCAGTAATCTCTTGATCATCATGTATACCATTCAAGTTTTCAGTCACGCTCAGCTCCTGGATACTAAATCTCGCAGACTGTCTTCTCAATGAAACTCTGGGAAAAATGAAAATCGCATGTTTAGCAACCTTCATGAGGGTACAGTACTTATAAACATGGCCTAACGCATATTGCACACCTTCTCATGCTGGTTGTCTCTATTGACTCTCCAGGTATGCCAATAACATCTTCACAATTGGCATGATTCTTCCTTCGAGAAACTCTTCTACAAGAAAAGCAACAAATCCAGAATAACCTAATTGCCCAAATTTTTTTACAAGACAATGGATGAAACATCAAGCAGATTGTGTAAGAGAGAGACTGAACCTTTTATTATTGGCTTTTTCATTTATTTGCAATGAGTTAACGTTGGAGCTCTCTGAAGCTAAAAATAGAACGATAAAAGGGTAAGCGTGTTAAAAGGTTCCTTGATGATAACCAAAAAGCTTACATTCTATACTTGACTGTTGCTTGCTCTTGCCAGTTTTATGACCCTTACAATTTGATAGAAAAAATTTGCAAGCCCCACCAGGAGAGTCTGCACGATCCTGAAGGCCACAACAATGCAGAAGAGACGTGTGAACAATGTACTAGTATGGTGCTAATATCCTATTCCAAGGTCCACAAAAGCCAATTCTCATAAGTACCTTGTCTTCTGATGCGTGGCAGTGCGTACGTGGAAGGTTTTGCGCCTGCAAAAGAAAAGTTAGCAACTTCTCAACTATGTAACATTTGAGATTGTAATATAGTCAACGGAAAATCACATACAAATCAAAACAGACCTCAGGCAGCAATTGCCTGGCCATGAGTAACCCATTCTTGCAACTAAGTTCGTGCTGAAGTAACTTCAGCTGAAATGCACAGAAAATTTCAGCTGAGGAACTTATAATTAATGATCAAGCAACCATGTGTTTGAGCAACTTAGGTTCCATAAAAAAAACCATACTTGATCTTTGCTTGTATTGATCTCCTGCCAGGAAAGAACAATTAAAACTAACTTTGCAATTAACCATAAAATTCCCAAAATCAAATTGAATTGAACAATAGAAAGATGAGATGTACCCCTAAGAGACGAGTGTTTGCCTGGGCAAGCTGCAAATTCTGTTCCTGAACCTTCTGAAAGTTGATCCTATGTTTACACAGCTCACTTCCACTCAGCTCTATGATTTTACTGTAGTCACAAAACAACAAGTGTTAACAACAAATTAACATACACAAAACTTACAAGTTTCACCATGTCTCATACTTTCTCTCCATGAGGAGTTTCGTCAGTTTCATGTTTTCCTGAAAAAAACAAGTCGATAAAGAAAAGGAAAAAACAATCCCATTTCCCAAAATCCAGCAATGTGATACATCTTTTCATGAACCCAAAAAAAAGAAGGGATTAAGCATTGCCTTTTGAAGTTTTTCAGCATATTCTGAAGAAGAGAGCAACAGAGATTGTTGGTGCTGATTCGCTTTCTGATTCTGCAGGTTGGTAATATCTCCCAGTTTCCTTCTTTGTGCACTGTTCATTGGAGGTTCCAGAGCCATTTTCACTCCTTTTGCTTTGTTACTAGGAACACCTGCAGATTTCAATTAAAAGTTTCAAACAAATCTTAAACGTAACTCATCATCAAGGTAAAGCTAGACATTCTCGTGTACGAAAACCCTAAAATCAAAACGCTGGGCCCAGAAATTCCAAGCAAATGAGATTAAAATCAACCGTATGCGAAGAAGAAGAGGAGCAATTAGCAAAGATACCACAACAGATTATGTTACCGAGACTTAAATTTACAATCTGAATGGGAACAGAACCACACGAAATCGGATTGAAAGAATCTCCAGAGATGTGAGATCTCTACTTCAAATCAAAATCATTAGGAAGACAAAACAGTGCGAAGAAAAGAATCGGGAAGCAAGAGTACTAAATTCGAACCTTCGACGGCGATATCGCCGACTTTAAGAACCGTCGCTCGCACCATCGTGAAGACGGAGATAAAAACCCTAATTGCTCTTCGTCGTCGCTCTATCGAGATAGGAATTCAATTCCGGAGGGAAAGAAGAAAGAGAGTGTGAGAGAGTAATATATACAGACTTACGAGGGTAAAACGGTAAAAATGGAATTAAATTGCACTTAGAGTCTCTTATTTTGGTTAAATTTGATTAGCGTGTGTATTAAGTCTATAAGATAAGAAGTTGACCCCACATAAAAAAAAAAAATAAACAATTTTTTTTTTTAATCGTCATTTGTAGTTAAATAGTTACTTAACCAAAATATTTGTCTAGTGACGTCAAATCTCTAAAAAAGAATGAGAAATATACCTTTTGAATCCGAAACTGTTTGAAAACGATTCAATCTTGATGAACAAACGTAAGAATATAAGCACAAATTTCTCGGATCTACTTAAAACTGTAACAAAAAAAAAACGCTTATGTAACAAAACTTTGTCTATATGCTTAACAATTAATCATTTTTCACTAGATTAAACACCATGATCTTGAAAATTAAGGATGAAAAGTTTTGAATCTTTTGAGTCCCATGTCATTACAAGCACTAGACAAATATTTTGGTTAAGTAACTATTTAACTACAAATATGTACTCACAGTATCTTAACCCAAAAAAATATTAACTATGTAACTAACTATTTATAGACAAAGTAAATGAAATGAATCAACTTAGAAGCTCCAACGGTCGAATTGTTGCTTAGTAGCCTCCAAGTCTTTGGTCGCTTTCACTCTCCGATAAAATATTGGACTATCAACCAACAAAAAATCCCAAAAAAAGAAACATAATTGGTACAGAAACATGATTCTATCATCAGTTTTTCAACAATCCACAATAGGAATTAAAGGGAAAAACCTGGTGCACAAGATATCTTGGTGAAAAGAGCCTTGGCACTCTTGACAATGTGACCTTAGACTCCCAACAAGCTCCTCTAGCTCTGCCACTAAATCCACATAAAACAAAATTTTCAGACCAAAATGATGCTACGACGATCCATTTTTGAGACCCTTCCAATAACCAAGCCATCGATTGTGTAGGGACTAATGATATCTTACCTTGACACACTTGTTTAATATGTAACTCGACTTCTCTTCCCTCGCAATCTGAGCACACTGTGCCGTTTCTGGCATCGAATATTAATTAAGCAGACCACAAATGTGAAGATCATATAAGTAAGACATCTACTCTTCAGAAAAAAAGGAAAATGGTCCATAGAGAATATCTATAAACTACCTGATTCGAGCTTTGCAGCCCATACAAGTCGGTTGTTTCTTGGCAAATTTCATTATGCCAATGTTTGAAGGAGTATCAATTGATTTTGACCTCATGTGACGTCCACTGAAATTGAAAAGTCTATTGCTTGCATTTTCTAAAACCAGCTCAAAAATCCTAAGAATCGGCTGGAAAAAAAAACAACATTTTGCTTTAACCTCACACCCCCAATCTCAACAATAAAAAGAGTAGAGAATTGATAGATTTATAGACAATCCACATTTCAAAACTGACCTTCTTAATCTGATTCTCGAGGTAGTAATTTGTATCTATAGGTATGTTGTTCTCCAGCACGTAAATCGGATCTTCTGACCGCTCATAAGCCTATAGTCAAAATGACATCAAAATGAGATAAACCTACAACAGCTTGCATTTGCACTTTGCAAATATATCAAATGGAAACCT